TTGACGTCCCCGCGGCGCACAACGACCACTGCAACAACCACTCCTTCGACTATAACAGTGACAACAGGTGTAATATACATGAATATTCATGAATGACCTTCACGGATATTGATTATCATTAAAATACCATATATTTCAATGTTGAGTGATCTCTTGCATAACGTATAGACCGCACATAATGAAACCGACCATCTGGCACTATCTGCTCAATTAGCCCTCGTAACACTGAATGGTGTGCTCATGGCTCCGTGGTTTAATGTCGCACATGTTGCTGTACGAAGCTACAGTAATACTGTGTTCGAATCCCATATTCACACCCGATGAGCCTTGGGTATCAGCATGCATATTACACTTGGTCGTTGTTGGTGTGCGGAATATTGTAAGATCTTGAGCCTACACTACCTTGGGCCTACAGTAGGCACCACGCCGTCTCTCTCCGAGACCCTGAACAACTACCCCATCTTGGGCCTACAGTATAGCATCACGCCGTCTCTCTCCGAGGTCCTGAACAACCTACATCGCCTTGAGCCTACAGTAGGCATCACTCCGTCTCACTCCGAGACCCTGAACAACCTACACTACCTTGAGTCTACAGTAGGCATCACGCCGTCTCTTAGTCTGTCATACAGACCCTGAAGCAAATATATCCAAGAATGCCCACGCAAGTCTAGAAAATGTGGCAAGTCTAGATTTCCTCAGCTTCTGAAAATGAAGAAGTCTCAGGGCTCCTTTTCATTATATATAAAAAAAATTAACTATGAACTTTTTTCAGTAAAATATGTTCATTTCAGAGACTAGTTGTTAGTCTAGCCGTCTCTCTCCGAGACCCTGAACAACAATCACGCCGTCTCTCTCCGGGACCCTGAACAACCTACACCACCTTGGGCCTACAGTAGGCATCACGCCGTCTCTCTCCGAGACCCTGAACAACCTACACCACCTTGAGCCTACAGTAGGCATCACGCCGTCTCTCTCCGAGACCCCGAACAACCTACACCACCTTGGGCCTACAGTAGGCATCACGCCGTCTGTCTCCGAGGTCCTGAACAACCTACACCACCTTGAGCCTACAGTAGGCATCACGCCGTCTCTCTCCGAGACCCTGAACAACCTACACCACCTTGAGCCTACAGTAGGCATCACGCCGTCTCTCTCCGAGACCCTGAACAACCTACACCACCTTGGGCCTACAGTAGGCATCACGCCGTCCCTCTCCGAGACCCTGAACAACCTACACCACCTTCAGCCTACAGTAGGCATCACGCCGTCTCTCTCCGAGACCCTGAACAACCTACACCACCTTGAGCCTACAGTAGGCATCACGCCGTCTCACTCCGAGACCCTGAACAACTTACACCACCTCGAGCCTACAGTAGGCATCACGCCGTCTCTCTCCGAGGTCCTGAACAACTACACCACCTCGAGCCTACAGTAGGCATCACGCCGTCTCTCTCCGAGGTCCTGAACAACCTCCACCACCTTGGGTCTACAGTAGGCATCACGTCGTCTCTCTCCTAGACCCTGAACAACGTACACCACCTTGGGCCTACAGTAGGCATCACGCCGTCTCTCTCCGAGACCCTGAACAACGTACACCACCTTGGGCTTACAGTAGGCATCACGCCGTCGCTCTCCGAGACCCTGGAGAATAAATCAACTCATCTTCAATGATTGAGCAAGTCTAGATTGTCTCAGCTGAAATTAGGCATTGTTGTAGGCCCCTTTTGGATTTGATCTACTATTTGCTTTGTAGATACATATTTTCGAAATAGATAGCCTTATGTCTGGGACTAAGCGTCACGTGATGAAAACGAATGAATAAATGACTAATTAATTCAGTATATTTTAGCTGCTGTCACTGCAGTACAAGCACAGATCGAGTACGTGTGGCTCATCGATAAAAAAGATGGCAGACATGTACATGAGAAGTTATTGAATACATCTTTGTTGAAAGCTAATCCACCTGCGTACGAGATAGTTGACGTTACATGTTTGGCGCCTCCCTAGTGCTACACGACGTTCAATGGATAAACACAGCAAAAAGCAAAAGTCACGTGAAACCAACAACACGATACACGCGAGGTTGATCAGACAAAACAAATATATTATACTACATCTAAACAGTTGGAACGTGGACCCATCCCAAAGCAGCCATCAACAAAAACGACATTTTACCAGACAATCACACAAATGTTCTATTCTCCGGCCCCTGTGGTGTTTTACAGTGGGTGATATTCTTTATACTGTTACACGGGGCTTATATAAGATTTGCAATTCGGAATAGATAAATACATCTGCAATTTAATCATGAATGTCATTTCCATAAAATACAAGATATAACATGTACACAGATGCCTGACAATGTATATATACTGTTTCGAGATACTGTCCATCCCATGTTCGTATGTATTCATAGAGCGGTTATAGCGTGGTTTACGATCTTTCTACAAATAGAAAAATACATGTATATAATTTAAACAATTTAATAAAGGAATCTATGAAAGGAAAATGGATATGTTCGTGTTAACCGACGTAATCATTATATGATAACTGCATCAAATCCATAGGAGAAACAACACAAATCATGTCGTCTTTTGGTTTTCTTGGGTTGTTCAACACAAATCATAGGAGAAACAACACAAATCAAGTCGTCTTTTGGTTTTCTTGGGTTGTTGCTTACACGTTTAGAAATGAAATATATTCTGGAGTTACACCTTTCTAACTTCCACAAGTGGCATCTGCATTATTAGCAAAATAGTTGTATCATACTGCTATCACCCAGGTATCTATACAGATTATGACAGGTGGATAGCGGCACCATTTTACTGGGAAAATGATGTATGACATTCATGACTCCAAAAAGGTCAACCTGACGTAAGGAGCACTATGAGTGACGTCCTCCCATCCTACGCCAGACCCGTGAAGATCAGGGTTAGAATTGGTCTTCAGTTACCGATGCTTGTCGTACAGGATCGCGTGGTCAGGCTCGCTGATTTGGTTGACACATGTCATCGTATCGATGCTCGTGCTGTTGATCATTGGATTGTCTGGTCCAGACTCGATTATTTACAGACCGCCGCCATATAGCTGGAATATTGGTGAGTGCGGCGTTCAAAAACTAACCAACCAACCAGCCTACGACACACTCGTTCCCTGCAAAACTTAGTGTCAAGCTTCAGTGTAGACAGACAATCCTATCCCAGTGCCTCTGGTAAACCAGCATGTCTGTAGACCCATAGTAAACGTTGGGCACGATGACATTGCGTCAAGCCGCTCTTAACATATTTTCAGTTCACCACTGATTGCATGTCCCTGCCTGCACTGGTGGGCTGGGAGTATACTGTGTGGTATTCATGATTAACTGCAGCATAGTATCTCAGTGAGCTAGCACTATAAAATCAAACTTAAGACTGGTGTAGTACAAGCCACCAAACATACACACGCGTGCACGTCGTCATATGAGCGAAATATGACGCTAAACCTCATTTCACCTCAGGAATCCAGGACAAAATCCACCCCAAAATTGCAACCCCGGACAAAATCCACCCCTAATAAATTCCACCCTAAGAAAAAAAAAATAATGACATGTTTAGTCACAGAAATGAATTTTATTCATATCAGTCATTCATAATCGATAACAAAAACAACCAAAATACATATGTAAGCACATTTTTGCATATATAAATATGACAAAAGCACATATTCACATTTCACATTTATGAATCATTCATGCATCAATGCATATATAAATATGACAATGGCATATATTCACATTTCACATTTATGAATCATTCATGCATCAATGCATATATAAATTTCACACATAATGAAACATATTATTTCTTCTTACTAGTATTTCTTATTATCATTCAGACATGTCTATGAAAGAAAGCAAGCCCATCGATCATCGCACAGAACTCTTGTTGCGATACTGGGAAACTAGACCTAGGGATTGTAGGGTGGTGTCGGAGGCGAAGACGATGACACGGTTGGGATCTTGTTGGCTGTCATATATCAGGAACGGCTCGTCGGTATCGTCAGACACGATGCCCAGCGCTGGGGTCTGGGGTGTGGCAGTTGTCTGTTGTCCGTACTTCATTCTTCACTTCCATGTCTGTGCAAGACAGCGGTTTCCGTTTGGAACACTCCCGCCTAATTGTTGACTTGCTCTCTTTCTTCTTTATGTACGAATAACCCTGTTATAGCAACTTCGAACTACCCTTGTTATTCCGTATGTATGGTGAATTTGCATTTTTTTACACAAACTATATATGTATGTACTATAGAAGCCTTGTATCTTAACGGGGCGGTGGGGTAGCCCAATGGTTAAAGCGTTGGCTCGTCACGCCCAAGACCCGGGTTCGAATCCCCACATGGGCACAATGTGTGAAGCCCATTTCTGGTGTCCCCCACCGTGATGTTGCTGGAATATTGCTAAAAGCGGCGTAAAACCGAACTCAGTCAGTTGTATCTTAACTAGATGATCTCAAACTCATTTAAAAAAAACAGGATGATCTCAAACTCATTAAAAAGTATGTTCTATCAAAACATGAGTATAAAGGGCTCCAATCAGGCTTGCAAAAACATCTTAATTCTTTAATAATACATGAAACTACAGCAATTTGAGAACGGTGAATTTTGTGCATTTTTCCGGTTAAGAAGAGGTGGAGTTTCACCACCTCGCCTCAGGATATCCTTTCCAAGATGTATACACACATGAGCATTTCTCAAACACTTCCCACTACACGTCGGTAGTACGAAGCCACTACACGCCGGTAGTAATAATAAACTAAATAATCAATAAACTAAAATTGAATGACAACAACCACGAATCGGGCCAAAGTAAAAGTGAATTCGATCACAATTGGAACTCCGTGCTACCTTTCAGTACAACAGTAAAGAAATCTTGGGGTCATCATGTGTGTCGTACATGTTATTTCCATGTGAGGAACGTCCGTCACCTGTTGACATGTGATGAATCACACCATTTGGCCAGATCCATGATCCTCTCGCGGTCGGATTACTGCAACGGTCTACTGGGTAATGTGCGTCAGGATCTTGTCACCAAATTACAGCGCGTTCAGAATGCAGCTGCACGGACCATCACCAGAAGCAGGAAGCGGTCACACATCACATCAGTCCTTGTCAAGCTCCACTGGCTGCCGATCAAAGCAAGGATCGAATACAAGATCTTGTGCATCACATACCGCTGTATCAAAGGCTCAGCTCCATCCTACCTGACCAACTTGGTGAAAGAGTATGTTCCTACTCGATGCTTCAGATCAGCTAACAACTCACTGCTCTCAATTCCCACAGCCAAACTAAAAACGTTTGGACATAGACGCTTCTCTTTCACATCCGCCTCTCTCTGGAATGATCTGCCCTTCTTCATTAAAAACTCTGGAACACTGTCTACCTTCCAGTCAAACTTGAAAACTTTTCTCTTCCGAAAATGCCACCCCGATGCCTAGTCTAGATGTGTTAACAAAAGCGCCGCGAGCAATCACTTGGTGTTTGGAAACTGTGCGCTATACAACACGACTTATCATTATTTATTAGTAGTAGTAGTACGAAGCCACTACACGCCGGTAGTACGAAGCCACTACATGCCGGTAGTACGAAGCCACTACATGCCCTTGTATATGCTTGGAAAAATTCCGCGATACTGATATGATAACCGTAATATATTTTACCCTGATTAAAACTGAAACTGAAATTTATTGGCAATCTGAGAAGAATACACAAAAACGTAAACGTCATCAATGCCGAAAAGTATGGTCACCATGATTACGCCACCATTCTCATTGTCACATAGTTCTCCAATAATGCTGGTTGTGATTGTATGAACCTCCACTGGCGACCCCGTCAGTACCTGGTGTAGACACCCCTCGATGGATAACTTCTGCCAGTCTCCTCCTACTGGTGGCAAACAAGTAATTCTTCTACAGCGTATTTTATTTATACTGGACATTACTGGTCATAATTCACGGCGGTAAGATGTGTCTACTTGGCTTAATACCCCTTTCCGAACACCTTTTCACTAACTCTAACGGTACATCCTACCTCTAAATGTATTATTTTCTTATTTAGTTAGGTGGATGTTTTCTTGGAGTCGCTCATGAAATCCCAACACGAGTAATTCACCTGTGTAGTCATTCGGTAGTACGTCTTCGGGGCTTCTCCCGATACTCTGTGATAACTCGAATTGTAACCACGTAAGTGTAGTAGTACTAGTTTCTAGCGTAGTAGAACTCGTTTCTAGTAAAGTAACCCAGCGTGTGTCGTTTTCAAAGTTCGCTGAAAAAGTACCTACTACCATACACTTTGTGTTGGATTTTGACCGGTGTAAGAAAAGATGCCTTTCATTAACTACGCGAAGGACTTAAACAAGCTGTTACTGAATTCGCTTTGAAGACTGTCGGGGTCTTGACATACGTTTAATGCCATCAGGAACATGCGAAGGGTGTTTAGGTTTCAACGGCTCTATCTTCGTCTTTTTGTTAAACACCCAAAATATATTTATAACCATCATTTTCAGATCCATGGGATGTCATAACTGTCATATGCCATAGTTGATCTACTATATTTCTACTAGATCTTGCCTCTCTTGGAAACAATTTAGGCCTCTCTTGGAAATAATTTAGGGTTATCCTTATGTAGAGTGTAGGTGTATCGAGCCTTCAGCCGCTCTTGTACTATACTCGTGGTAGGTTTATTACCTTTTGTCGCGCGTTTTACAGCTGTCCTAATTTGTTTTATGGGGTCATAACCAGTAGTGCCGTTCTTGTTATCATAGACTTAAAAGCTCAGTGTTTTGACAACGTATTATCCTTTATGAATTATAGCTTGTGGACTAGTCCACTTTTGTACAGTCGAGAGTAGCATATAGTTAAGGAACTCCATCGTGACTACTTCACATGCCGTGATCAATGCCTAGCAGTGGTCAGGTGTGCCATTGTTTAAACAGCAAGTCATGTTATGGCATTTATAACCTTTATCGACTCTCTCCTAGGCCGTAGCTGTAATCACATCCCTAAGTTTTTTGTCCAGATCCATGCCATTACTGTGTGTACACAAGGACGAGAGAGAGAGAGAGAGAGAGAGAGAGAGAGAGAGAGAGAGAGAGAGAGAGAGAGAGAGAGAGAGAGAGAGAGAGAGAGAGAGAGAGAGAGAGAGAGAGAGAGAGAGAGAGAGAGAGAGAGGCCCATTGTACATGTAAGTTAGTGCCACAATACGTTGACAAAGCACCATAACATTCTCATATACAGGACATTGATAGCATCAACATGATGCAATATATTTAGCAAGATTGTTTATGATAACATTGTTTTGGGATGTGAATTTAAGAAATACACTTCGCTCTACCACCATGTATAGTGTAATAAAACACACTTTTGCCCTGAACTATTATAGTTAAAGCACGAGGACACTTGCGTCCGAGTGCTTTAACGTTATAATAGTTCAGGGCGAAAGTGTGTTTTATTACACTATACATGGTGGTAGGGCGAACTGTATTTCTTTTCTAAGATGCCAAATTTAATACTTTCTAAAGATAATTACGATTAATTTAAGGCAGAAACAAAAAGGACGGTGTCGGTGACCTAAATTAGGAATCCTCGCACAGGGCTAACTGGCGCGCTGTTCTATTGATGTGTCTGCCCCCTACGTTAAGACGAACGTTACCAGAAAAAAACAAATGATAACAGTTTGATGACGGTTTACGTTCGGATTAAATATCTTCTCTCAATTATTTTAATTACATCTGCCATTAACGTAAACCATATGGGGCAATATGAACGTTGCATTTCTACTACCAGCGTAAGTTTAGATCAGTACATCCAGAGGAAGTTGAGTAGTCAAGCGACATTCCACAATTGCATTGTGGGAATGTACACATTACGAACGTTACCGTGTCGCTGAAAACTTGTGAGTCGAAATGAGACATTTTAACCGTCGTAAAACATAAACGTAATGTTACCGCCAGTAATGTTAGCTGCGTGAAGCAACTGCAAACCAAGAAACGGGATGCAACGGTGTAGTTTACTGTAGGAGGCCGTACGAGGCGATGACAACTGACATGCATCGTGACGTCGCTTACATTGTGACGTAATGTAAAATGGTTCGATTACGAGGGGGCACACTAGAATGGCGCAGTGACGGGATAACGTCATTCAATTGTTACGTCATCAAAAAACTATACCTTTATTGTCTGATAATGTGTTTTTTTTCCGATTGTTCTAACCGCTAGGCATCTTAGAATTAAGAAATACAGTTCGCTTTACCATCATGTATAGTGTAATAAAACACACTTTTGCCCTGAACTATTATAGTTAAAGCACGAGGACGCTTGCGTCCGAGTGCTTTAACGTTATAATAGTTCGTGGCGAAAGTGTGTTTTATTACACTATACATGGTGGTAGAGCGAACTGTATTTCTTTTCTAAGATGCCAAATTTAATACTTTCTAAGGATAAGTACGATTAATTTAAGGCAGAAAACAAACGACGGTGTCTGTGACCTACATTAAGAATCCTCGCACAGGGCTAACTGGCGCGCTGTTCTATTGACGTGTCTGCCCCCTACGTTAAGACGAACGTTACCAGAAAAAAACAAATGATAACAGTTTGATGACGGTTTACGTTCGGATTAAATATCTTCTCTGAATTATTTTAATTACATCTGCCATTAACGTAAACCATATGGGGCAATATGAACGTTGCATTTCTACTACCAACGTAAGTTTAGATCAGTACATCCAGAGGAAGTTGAGTAGTCAAGCGACATTCCACGATTGCATTGTGGGAATGTAAACATTGCGAACGTTACCGTGTCGCTGAAAACTTGTTAGTCGAAATGAGACATTTTAACCGTCGTAAAACATAAACGTAATGTTTCCACCAGTGATGTCAGCTGCGTGAAGCAACAGCAAACCAAGAAACGGGATGCAACGGTGTAGTTTACTGTAGGAGGCCGTACGAGGCGATGACAACTGACATGCATCGTGACGTCGCTTACATTGTGACGTAATGTAAAATGGTTCGATTACGAGGGGGCACACTAGAATGGCGCAGTGACGGGATAACGTCATTCAATTGTTACGTCATCAAAAAACTATACCTTTATTGTCTGATAATGTATTTTTTTTTCGATTGTTCTAACCGCTAGGCATCTTAGAAAATGAGATAAGCTTATTGCAAGATGGAAAACAATTAATAAAATTCTTGCAAGAGATCTGATCGCAGGTCGTGATAAACTGGACATTCAAGACAGAAATGTAATTTAGATTAAATAGTAGGTCTAACACAGAATGTGCGAAGACGATCTTTGCGGTCAAGTTTGAAACGTCTTCCATATTTAATCATTAGGTCATGGTTGGAACAGCGGAACTTACACAATGCAATACAGTAAGCTTTTAATTTGACTACACTAAAGTAATATTCTTCAGAAAAGATATACCTTAATTTGTCTGTACATCTCAAGTTTGGAATATTTACGAAGGTATGAAACCCAATTTTGAACTTCAATGTCAATACATCTCTGTTTAAATTCAATTAGAAACTGCTGCACGTTGACGACACGCTGGTCCATCCACACCTGTCCTTTTACATACAGTCCTTTTCAGAATCACAAGACTTCATACGTCCATGTCAAGCAGTGTGTTAAGAACAGAGTGGCTTCTACATCGTCAGTCGTTTGACCAACAGAACTGCCCGAAATCGCTTAAACTCGACCGGGTAGCAGACGTACGTTGTTTTCCTGGGAACACATGCAGCAGGGCTCGCTTGGTGTCATGGTCGACGTCTCTGGAAGTTGAGGTCATGTGGAAGGACCCATTGGTCCGACGAAAGTCGATTTCTTTTCTTTATGACTGATGGCCGAACCCGTGTTTGGAAACGCTGTATATGTAACGCCTTGAAATGTGTCTGCAAAATCAGGAAATCCTATTTTCTTTGATTATATATTTTATGTGTGCTTTAATTATTCAATGACAAATGCTTGTATTTTGGGCCAGTGACCTTTATATTGATAATAATACTGACACTCTGGCTAACGCAGAAGGCTGCAGTGTTGGGGAGTCTACATATTCTCCGGAAAGTTCTTGGTGGGTTCGACTAGGCAGTCCCATTCGCTGTCTGGTCTGCGTGTAGAGGGGGCAAGGGCCCTGAGCTGATGATGAGCCTTACCAGCCTGACTGTGCCAGGATACCCGAACCCACTCTGCTGCATTTCTCATCTTAATCTCTTAATCTAGTAATAATGATAATAAATCGGACATTTATATAGCGCATCATATCCAGAGACTCCCTGCTCAAGTGCGCAGGAGACAAAAGGGTTTTCAGGGTGGAACAGAAGCTGCTGAGTTCCTTGATTTGTCTGACAGCCAGGGGCAGCCCATTCCACAGATCGGCGCCTGCTCTACGGAAACTCCTGTCTCCATATCGTTTTGTCAGAGAAGGCGGGACTGTTAGCAGGTTCTGATCTGCAGATCTCAATGTCCGGTTCGGCTTGTGAGCTACAAACAGTTCTTCAAGGTATACATGGGCTACTCCATTGAGTCACTTGTGGACAAACGTGAGTAGTTTGAAGACTATTCTTTGTCTCACTGGAAGCCAGTGTAGTTCCTTCAGCACAGGTATAATGTGCTTCTGTATCCTGGTCCTGGTAATTAATGAGTCTGGCTGTACTGTTTTGTACTCGCTGTAGCTTGTTCAAGTGTTGCTCTTGTGCCCCATACTGAAGGTTGAGTTGAAAATCACACCCAGATTTCGAGCATTTGGGCTTTTGGTCAACTGTGATTTCACAAGTTGGGGATGTTCAGGCTTGACTGCATATCGGGGGACGAGAACACAAGAAACTCGGTTTTGTCAACATTGAGTTTGAGAAAGTGTTTTGACATCCATCGTCTGATATTGAATAAAACTGTCTGTCTGACTGTCTGTATATACACAACGGAATATCTTAGAGCGGGGTTGGTGTGGCGTGCCTATGATCAGACAACGTTTGAAAGGACAATCACTGACACCCTAGACAGAGCAGCTGTACCACATATCGAAGACCACCATATGAACACAAGGCTAGTCTTCATGGACGACAATGACCACATCGTACACGTGCTGTTGATGATTTACGCAACACACACCGGTACACACAACACACACACACACACACCGGTACAAAATCTTGTAGTAAGACAATACATCAAAGTTCCTTTGCAATGGTTAATGGTAACATATTGATACTATGAAAATGTGGGAAGGTGCGATACTGCTTTCCATGTGTATATTTGTCAGCATATCTACTTTAGTGAGTCTGGTATTCCGACAGGGATACGCCTGCTTGCTGGATTTGACTTGTAGTGGAGTTGGAACGGCTGCTCGACTTCCCTCGCTTCGACCTGTATTCATCTATTTTATAAGGGACTAAAAAAGTTTGGACTGAATTATTCTTCGTCTTCAGTCTGAGCCAATTCCCTCGTCGATTACACGTTGACATATTATCATAATAAACGTGCATGAACAAGATTCCAAGCTTTTACCTGGAGTATAGTGCTTCCAACGATATACGTGTTTTCAAACACTTATTCTGTTTCGTTTTTTTTACTAAATGTCTTTATCGCCGTCGATTTATTTCGCCTTCAAGTTGTCTCCACATAATTGTATTGCCAGTCAACGCCTTATCTAACACTTCATTGTACTTCTGTCTACGGCCATGGAGATTATCGGTGTTATCCAGCGGGTCCGGAATATCGTTAAATTAATTGACTGTGGCAACAATGATTCGGTTGTTGTTGGTTTTTCTTTTCGTTTTATTGGGTTTTTTTCAGCCAAACGTTCGTATAAGGTACAGTATACAGGGTACAGGGAATGAAAGTCCTTGGCCATCACGACTCCATACCCGTAGGGCATGCATTGGCATCTCACTGACAGCATTTGGATTGGGCTCATGATAATGCCTACAGGAGTGAGAGGAATGGGCTCAAGAATAAATACTGATGAATCGAGATACTGTATAGACTTCACATATCGTCGTGCCTGAGTGTTCGTAGTTAAGAAGAAAGATTCAGGATTCGAGCTGAACATGAAAGCTTTGGGGGACTCAATCATGATTTGAAGTGGGAGCAATAGAGCTGGGCGACCGGTCTCCATGTCTTACACTTGGGCATTATGATAGGCTTGCGCTACAGGGATCACATTCAGGATGTGTCCTGGACATCGGATGCAGTCGGATCGGAGTTCATTCACGCACTACCTAATCGTAAAGGGTCGTAGAAGCCTTCTTAGAGCAGGAGGCCATTGTCAGCATAGAACCTAAGACATCAGACCTTAGCGCTCTCAAACACACACAGAACGAGCTGCAGATTGCCCTCTCACGACGCCCCGACCTTCGACCAACTCTACTGGAACGCAGCAACGCTGTTACTGAAGAGTGGAGCAATCGTCCCTTGGCAAAGATCTTGAGACTTACTGGGAGTATGACATAACGGTACCAGGCTGTGAAGGACCATCTACACATTACGGAGAGGTTCTTTCCGGGTAATGTCGTGATTTCAGGTTTGGTCACATACTCTATTTTTGACTGGTGATCAGACTGATTATTGGTCACATGGTGTTTGTTGGTACTATGAGGCACATGAGGATAGACTTTTCCTCATGGAATATGTCAACAGGCAATACTGTCTTTGGCCATTTCGGCAGAGGCACACAGTTTACGCACTATCTATTTTTACGGTGGTGATCATATGGCTGGTTATAGAGTACTTAAATGGCTTTTCGAGGACTATACAAATATTTGAAAATATGTCATAGCCAACTTCACATTGTTCTGTCAGGTGTTCTAGGAAGCTGCCTCGAGCCCTACTGGTGACTTGGTTTCCAAACAGTTTTAAATCACTTGAGTGTCACATAAAAAAATAGTTCATTAATTTCAAGTGTACATTAGTTAAAATGTATGTTGACAAGGGATAACAACCAACTGTCCATGTATAAAAACTAATGTATCACTAGAGCAATAGTGTAATTCTGTGATAATAGTAAAATATAAGATACATGTTGCACATTGAGTCATGTTCAATCCGAGGTCATCCATAAAAACAGACACAGAAGCAAATTGAGATTTACTCTAAAAATTTATTCTTCATAAAATGTACAGTTTTTCTATAAAACAGACACTTGAAATGATATTGTGACATATACACTTTGCCCAATGGCTGAAAGAAGCACAGATGTCAATGAAAACACAACAAGAAATCAATGGCAAAAGTAAGATCAACAATGACAGAGAAATATACAAATATGATATTTAATATTTACTCACAAAATGGCATTTTGATTTCTATTATGTAGGCTTGAAATACCAATGGTCATATGACAATGAGGAATGAATTGGCAACATAATACAGACCAGTAAATCAGACCAGAAAGTGTTACACTGACTGACAGAGTAGTCAAACAACCATACAAATGACAGAAGACTAGGAGTAAGCACATGTGCTTCAAAGATCTTCTTGCATTACTCTTAGAGTATACAAGGGGGCTGGTGAGAAGGTAGTGCATGCAATAAATAGAATCTCTTGCAAAATAATTGGTTTTTATTCTTTTCTGCAACAATAACATACATGTATGTAATTATTGCCAGATGAACAAAAGGAATAATTCAACAAAATTGCTCACTAAATATGCAGGTTTTGTCTTCTGAACAGACTCAGAAGCACTTTTCCATGCAAGTCCAAATAATCAGACTACATTGTGTACTCTAAAAAAAACGAATACAGTATCTACAACTGAAAACCAGTTATACTTCATAATATTATCACAAAAAAACATGTAATGTGCTGTTATGTTAAATTCATAAATGTTTTGTTAATTCACAGGTTCTTATTTGTGTTACAGATGTGTGGATAATTGTACATGACAAACAAATCAATAGTTTCATCAGTGTTGATACACCAATTATATTGGAGATATTACAAAATTCATTTACAAATTTTCACAAATATAGACAGAAATATCAGAAAATAGAGTAATATCAATGATGATGAATTTACAAGTTGTTTTATACATTTAATAAATAAACAACACTTTCAACATGAAGTGATGACACAGTTAAAACATAAAACTTGGTTCACAGACACTGACCTGTTTTGAAACTCAACCAAGCATGTAGATTGATTTATATCTGTTCAAAGAACCCATTCTTGTAAGTAGACACTTTCCTTGAAATGGACTGAGAACCAATTATTTAGTTTTCTTAAGCCTAACACTAACCATCAAGAAGAAGAAAGGCGAAGAAAGGATGTTCAATATCAAGTATGGTGAATCGTTGACACATTTTGGCACTACTTTCTAAACATTCTCTAAGTAGAATCCACATTCTACTTCTCATATGAAAACATGGAAAATGTCCAGTCTCAGCACCCTTTTCAATGTTTAATTAAAACTGAAGATGATTGCCATACACTTGGGTTGTTGGAATATTGGTTTCATTTATTACATCACATGCAAAAGTCACCAAAGTCTCACAGCAGCATTTCATAAGCTACCATATTTCCTCTCATAAACATTGTGTTCAATACACCAACATTCTAGTCTGCTAACAAGTTCATGGAGATCGAGATGATACCTGAATAGTATTGTTAAACAAACAATGTATACAGCTTAAAAAGATTAGCTTTTCTGGTCAGAAGAACATTCTAGTAATCAATGGTCCATCAAAAATGATCAGCCTCAAAAGTATGTCAGGAACAGACTGTGAATGAATCAAGAAATGTAAGTGGATTTATTAGAGGAAATATGACACATACTCTGCTGAAAAATATGAAAACATCTTTGAATGGGGATACTGTCGTCATTAATATTAAGAAACTAACAATCGCCATAAGACTACTTACACTATAATGGCAAACCATTTTAAAAAATACACACAAAAAATATGATCAGAACTGCTTTGATAAAGTGCTCTGTTTACTCAGTGTGTGAACAAAGGGTGTCATAGGGTTTTCAAGGCTTGCTCAAATAGCTTTTGAGTCTAGCGATCCATATACTCTATCTTGGGTTAACAACACATTTAATGACAAATGTTTAATCTACCAGCTACCAGATGAGAAAATCTTGTTTTGATAATATGACTAGTTACATGTGGTGTTAGTGTAGCCGATATTGTTATAGGAGGCTGTGAACTGTATATTGGTGGAATCAGCAGTAATTGTACACTATCTAACATAGTGGTGATTACATGACAGTGATGACTGCAGTCTTCAGACGTTGGTAGCACTATGTATCATTGCAAACAAACACACTGTAAATCTTAAATGTAGCTTGATGAAATGTCTAACAGTTCAGTCTCCCAATATGGTCACCCACTGGACTAGCCAGAGTTAACAGACATGTTGTTGATAATGTAGCAAAATGAAATGATAGCAGTTAAAGTAACCAGTGGCTTTACCTTATGTTTCACAGGAATAATAAACTGACTTAGTTATCTACACACAACCCTTCTTTAACAGCAACAGTGTGATTTAGTTGGCTGTAACAACTTCTGTGTGGACCTGAGGATCAATGCTTCTACTTCACACTTAACCATCTGTCATAATGAACCATGAACAGAGGCAGTGACTCTTCAAACATTATGTATGATGTGAAGCATTTCCTAAGTCTGTGTGAACACACACAGTGATCAGTGTGACCAGCTGTCAGTTCACAGTGGCAACAATGATAAAATGTTATGACAAATATCTTTGAAACTCCCCCATTGTGTGTGTGTTTCGTGGATTTATGTGCAACTATGTGTAACCTGCTGCTGCTTGATGACATCACCTACACAGGAGCACAGTTGCAGACATAGTCCTTCACATCACAGTGAAAAGTCTTGCAATTGCGACTATGTTGAGCTGACGTGTATAGGTACTGGGATAATGTTAGCTTATTATACTCCAGGATCTGACAGATGACCACAGTTTTGTTGATAATGAGTGAGGTGGGTTAAACTTTGAACAGTACTGATGTGTGAGAGCTGATGTTGGTGGAAGGCCCTGAGTGATGCAGGTTGTACATGTTTACCATGAAACCATGAGCACTGGTGCCAGGAATCATAACCAAAACCTTCCATTCAAACCAATGATCATAGCATTCTGGCATCTAAAAGGGATGCAACTCTGCACAGCGAATTGAGAAGTACCAAACAACAGAATTACCTGTGTTCCTTGTCAAATAGATCCAGGTGTAAAAACAAATCTTACCCACTTGCCCACCTCCCACTCTGAAGGAGGTGATATTTGCACTGGTGTTTGAAGATATGGAATGGATAAGCAAAAACATAATTTTGCATTTATCGGTTATCTTACTTTGTCTGAATTGAATTGGTCAAGTCAGTCAGGTGTAACATTGATGACATGCCAGGTAATTCTGATTTACAAAAAAACCCAACATAATTAAATTCAAATCTCCCCTATGACTTGCAAGTAAAGTTAAAAGAACACATTGCTAGCTCACTGAACACTCTCTGCACTGCCACTAAATGACCACTTTACTGGTAATAGCACAAACCCATCTTCCATAACATGTACGCTAGTGACTAGTACTTCATCAAAATGAACTCTCACAATCACATAATCTCAGCAGACAATTAGACAACAATTACACTTGATTACAGAATATTTCAACATTCTATATTGCAAAGAATATTTCAGTTCACTGAATGAAGAAAGATTGAGAGCGTAGTAATAAACAACCATGTTCAGTAATCCGATGTAATTATGTCTTGCTAGATGACAATCATCATCAGCAAAACATCAAACATCATCAGACTCATCTTTTTACAATAAATGCAGATTATGATAAAATACAACTGCATTTAGTCAAAGAACAGCACTAGATCATACAACAAGTGACGCCATAACACAGACTCAGCACAATAACCACATGTATACAAAGATTCAGACAAACACTGAAGTGAACTTCATAATTTGTCACATAAGGTACTAAAAAGAAACAACAAACTTGCTATTTTTGCCATCAGAACAACTGCAATGTTTCACTCATCACTGTCCTCTGCTTTTAAATATGGTCAAAATATAAATGATCTCCTTTGGAAGTTGGAACCATGGCCCCTAATGTATTAGTAAAAGCATTGTTATAAAATATAATACTACACGTAACAGCATCTATAATGGTGTAAAGTTTGAGAAGCTCTAAAGAGGGCAACCACTGTACCACACATAACAGACATGGCAACAGCTGATGCTGTCAAATGACACATGCAAAATGCTCAAGAGCTGAAGTATGTTCAAAATGATCCACCAAGAATGAGCGTTAGTGGAAACTGAATACTTGTTTAAACTCAGCAATGACATATATTTCCTGTGCAAAGACACATCATGTCTCTCTTCTTGCTGGAGTGAGATTCTTCAGTAGCTTCATGTCCGTTTGAAAAATGGCAGAATCTTCTCATACCACAGATAAGCAAGGTCAAACAGACTGAAACAACTAGTCTCTGATGCGCTTCTCAAAAACGCTGGAATTAGTCACATCCTTGAGCCTTTCTGCTGCAACACCTGTAATTGCAAGATAATACATCTCAAAGGGTGCAGTTATATAACTTGTAATGATAGGATTAAATTAAGTTTATTAACGTCCAGACAATGAAAAGTGACACACCTAACACAACTTATACACTGACATAAAATGTGCTCAATGTGAGAGTATATTGAGTTTAATGAGTTTGGACAGTATTTTTCAGTCATATCACAACATGCATTCTTAATTATAGAGGAAAGCCAAAATTGATTGCTGTCCTAGATGAATGCCACTTTGGTGAAATTCATGAGCATGGATGTGGTATTGACAAACCTAGAAACATAAATGAAGTGAATAAGGATTTGAACCTACCATCATGTTGCTAACATGCCAAAGGGACGCAACTCTTCAGATTGAATTGTGGCGTCTTAAATAATTAGGCCACCATGGTTAATGCAGGGGTGGATACAGCTTTTTGAGAAAGGTGGGGTGCACACTCTTGAGAAAGGGAGGATGCACACTTCATTTTCACGAGTTTATATGGTCATTTAATAAACTTTCAGGACAAAAGGGGATGCGCACACCCCTGTACCCCCCTCTGGGTCCGCCTATGTTAATGTGAGGTAAGTGGGGACTTGAATGATGTGAATTTCCATTATAAATGATTACAGCCAGTCGTCTACTCACTCATCTGTTAAAAATGGGACAAAGTTTGACATTCCACACAAACACTGAATCTGATGATGACCTACCTTAGCACGGTCTGTAGACTCACTCTCATGACCATTGACAATGTTCGGACATTCTTTGGAGACCACGCAAAGGAACTCTGCATGATCTTCAGACCCGTAGTTATACTGGGATCCTATGTTGATCAGCTTGAAAAGAACAAAAATAAAAAGTGTGTCTTTGCTCAAGAAATATATTAACTCAAAAGAAGCATAGCTGATGACAGAATATTTCAGGAATAAATCTACAAAACAAAATATGCGGAAATATGAATTTGGTCCAGGAAACATTTATGTTTTTGAGACAGACAAGAATTAGGAATAAAAATATGTTTGCAAACGAGCTTAAAATGGATTTTTAGTTCAAAATCATTAGCCATATTTCAAATCTCCCAATATCAGACAATCACTGACAATGTATGAGAGTTAGCTTATACCACAGTTTGACTGGTATCCCTGTCAACACTCCCCACGGAAACATGATAAATAGATGCTAATGCATACCTGTTCAAACTTCCAGCCATCAGACATTGTGGACACCATCTGAGTGAGCTCCTCCTCAGAACACTGTAGCACTCTATATACATTCTTCATATATGTCTGGAAGACAAAGCAGTAAAGAAAGTCTTCAAGGATGCATGAAAACAAGCTTGTTCACCTTGACCAATCTGTACTACTCTAGAATGTCCTAATAGAAATAAATGATTTATTATTAAACAAACTTTTGCATTAACTGACCATAGTTTTGTACATGAAGAAATTCATAGAAGGCAGTGTGTATGTAAGAAGGGTGGTTCAAAAGTTCTAAGGCTAACTATAATGGTCTGTATTGAGAAGGTCCAAGGTCATCACAGATGCTCCTGTTTCCTGAAGAGGACTTCCTCCTGGTGGTTTAAACTGTCCTCCACGACATTTACATAATGCTGGCCAGACAGGCCCACAGGTGTACTGTCCTGGTGGAACAGCACATTGTACTGTATTGGCTAGTTGATGTGACAAGTGTTAGATCAGCCATAATCAAATCATGATCTTTATCAACATTTTCATCTCAGGTGGCAGTTTAAGATCATTCTTATCATTTTATTTTCAAGACTCTCTCTTCCCCTTATAAACCTTGCTGCCCAGCATTAACAGTGGCCTCTTAAGGTGCATCATCTCATAAAGGTAACACCATGTCTACATGAAAGGCTGTTGGAGTTATCTTTCTCAGTGGAAGATAGGTATTTTCAACAACAGACAATACCTAAGCACCGTAATATTTGCAGAAATATGCCAATACAACGTATTTGCTTCAAATAAGTAAGTATAGTAAGTATTGTACTTAATACATACAACCAGTTATAGAAGTACAATACATCATTCATATCTGGACTCAAAACTTAAGTGTCTTAACATCAAACCAGTGAGTCTGGTGGAACCTTACCTGGTTTTGTTTGGCATCTCTTTCTCTGATCTTATCCTTGGCCAGCTTTATCAAATCAGTGATGTTGTAAAACTCAGCTTCCTCCAAAACACCTGAAAATAGATGCATGTTTCTTTGTAGCATTCTCAGTCATTTGTCAACTCACAAGTGTGGAGTAGCAGTTATTTCTACAAGTCCACATTAGCTAACCACAACAGCTCAATCAACATATGGTATTTTGACATCCCATCCAATACACATTTTTGCTTGAGTCAATGTTTCTCCAAATTGAAATAAAGGTTTACATGTGTGTAAAGTGAAGCACATGTTTTCATGGTAATATGATGTGGGATGAAGTTTAATTTTACTCCACCTTTAGCAATATTCCAGCAATATCATGGCGGTGAACATCAGAAATGGGCTTCACACATTTTACCCATGTGGGAATTGAACCTGGGACTTTGGTGTGACAAGCGAACACTTTAACCACTAGGCTACCCCACCACCCCTGATGTGGGATGAAAAGTAACAGTTAAATATAATTATAAGCATTGATATTCAGGATTTAGTTTTGCATAAACATGACAGTCAAATCTCTCCTTGGTGAAATATTTATGATGCAAACATGATGCCATACAACTGAAATATTTTAACAATATTTGACACTTTGATTAGCAGAAATATTTTAGTTTTTTCTAGATCACAGTTAAATACAAATATAATTAGTATAATTTTGATTAGTTCAACATTGGTCCATGTCCCTCAATAATATAAAAGCCCTAACTAATGCTATACCCGCATATCATTTGCATGATTCACAGAGGTCATATCGAAATATTTGTTTGAATCTTGTCTTGAAGATACTTACCTTCTTCTGCAAGATCTTTATTTATGACAAGTTTCCCATGTCTCAAGTAATTGAGAACTGGGCCAAAGTAGGTGGGATCTCTATCTATGAGGTAGGCTCCTTCTTCATCCTGTAGCGCAATATCAGTACATGAAATGTTTAGCCATTGCTATTAATAAGACTCACATGAAATACATATGAATATTAGAACCTTTAAGAATACATACCTACATGTTGATGTGGTTAGTGTCATATCATTCAAATGTTTAATATGAAAGATTGCTTCCAAAGTTCTAAGTGCAGCCATAATACTTTAAATGATGTCATATGTTTTTTGCTCACCTCACTTAGGTTTTTGACATCACTAAAACCTTTTAATACTATTTTTTCATTGGGGTGAGTTATGTCTCAGTGATCTCTGTTTCCAATACATAATTTTCTTAAATTTGACAAGACAAGTTTGTTGATTCTGAACATTTTGTCAGTGGGGCAATAGCAGGAGTCCTTGTTGACAAACATTCTGCTGGTGAAATCTCATAAAATATAAATAAAATAACAACCATGAGTCAAAAGGTCGAATGAAAACCTGTCATGGTATGACAGCACAAGAACATCTCTAGCATGTATAACCACACATGCGACCAAGGGATTTATCATCCAAAACTGTGTTCCACAGGAGATATCGCTTGTGTGAGATCAGACGATATCTCCTAGGAGATATCGTTTTGACAGTAGATTTTGCACAATGCCCTGACAATGCTATGACGTCATGAACTTGATGACGTCACAATGCTATGACATCGCTGCACTGCAAATCTAATGGCAGTACTGTGTTCAGAGGTGTACATTTTTCATTGAAAACTAATGAAGAGTGATTTTTGATGATAAATAGAATCTCACCCAGGTGTCTTCTGATATCAAATATATCAACACTCGTTGATAAAAGTAAAAATATCCTCGGCAGGCCTCGGATATTTGTTACTTTATCAACTCGTGATATATTTGATATCAAAAGACACTCGGGTGAGATTCTCTATTTATCTAGGATTCCAAATTAAGTGACTAGGAAAGAGCCAGGTGAACCATGTTGTCAGAAAGAAAAATGTGAACTAGCCTTAGCATGCTTACTTTTGCTTTTATGGCAATGGTGATAAATCTTCATAGTAGTTACTGAAACGCTAGAAGTACGGATCTGATAAATCCAAAATGATCAAAATTAGACCAGAGGCCTAATGTTGCCATTGTTGGTTCCTCTTGTGAACTGACATGTTGACTCACCTTGTCCGTGTTCAAACCAAGGTCGGGGTCTTCCTGCACCAATCTATAGAGGAATGATTTCGGATCTCTGCAGAGAGTAGTTCTTGTGGTCATAAATATGGTGCCTCCGACATTTAACCTCACCCACTCGGCCTTCCTCGTTTTGCTGTCTTGCCTGGAAATGGAGTTGACAGCACTGTGGTTTGTTTCCATAGTTTCAGTCGACATGGTGCTTGTGATTTGAACCCCCCAACTTCAATTAACCCCGATATAAAAAGGAACCCAATGCCCTTCCTACAACTACTAAACTATCAGTCTAATCTTTTTTCTATTCAAAATAGTAACATTTTTACGTCCTATTTCCATTATGTGGACGCCATACTCTACAATACTCAAATCTCGTTCCTCGAGATCTCACGTTGTGTCCTAACCTTGTTTCAGGGCAAGGTCAGTCTCTCGGTCGCCATTTACACGCTGCGAGGATGGCTGCTCGAAGGATTGCTAAATCTGCTGTCGATTGGACAGCATTTGCCGAAAGGGTTCCTGCAAACCAGCGGGATTTCTTTAGAGCCTTTAAAGCCAAATCAGAGAGCCTTGTTAACAGGTCTTGTTAATACTTTTGCTACTCAGAAATATTTTGTTTCCGATACCATTATATTCTGTTGGCATGAATGTCAAATACCTCTTTTCAATGTCAGTGATGAATAATTGTACCTAAGCCCAGTGACAGTTTTGTTCATTTGTCATTTCTATTTAGTTATGTTTAGGATACGAAATAGGTATATTTGCAATAAAAATATACTGCTACACATGTTTGTGTTGGTCGCCGGCACAGGTAATGAGGTATCGTGAGCGAAATATTACCCAATTCAGAGTACTCAATTGTACACCAACAATATTAACTCGGTAAGAGTTCCGCCCGTAACCCCCGCATGAAATGTATTCTATTTATTAGGATTATTTCGAGGTTTAGGATTAGGGTTTTAGTTTTAGGGTGTGGGTTAGTGTTAATTTTTTTTGTGGATAAAAAACATTTGTTCTTAGGTATAGAATGATAAAATAAAATGAGGGTTACGGGCAGAAATCTTTCCGTTCAGAAGAAGAGTTACATCCCTTCCTTTCGAGAAAGAAAACAGTTTTTTTTCATCTATCCAGGGCTAAGATAAGGGTCGTATCGGTGTATGTACAGATAAAAAATATGCACGATACGGTAGGAAATAATTGAGAAAACGTAGCAGATACGCACCACAGCAATGGTGTATGGTCTTAGAATCATTTACAGACGTATTTATCTGAAAAAGTATTGTTTTAATGTTTATTGACCTATTTACACAAGTCTAGCAATGTTGTGGTGCATATATGAAATGAAACACAAGATTACTGATACACCATTAAATTCCATTCAATACTCTAAATCTACTCTTAAGTTTTTCCAGTACTCTTATATTGAAAAAATATTGAGTACCTACTCCTGATGTTGAAAAATTATCTGGAGCCCTGTCTATCTGTAGATATAATTGCCTTAATTGTAGTGTGAGTGAGAGAGTTAGTTTTAAGTCTCATCTACAGTATTTCAGCCATATAGTCAGAGCAGTTACCAAGATAATAAGATGGTATATTACCATCAACTTGCTTTCTTCTAACCCTGTTTGGATACCAGGTTAGAATAAGCACCCACCACACTATGCTGTTTATGAGAGTTGATCAAATGGGTTGGGCGGTAGGGCTCTGTTATTTGGTAATGGTGTTGATCATTGCCCTCAATATCAATCGATTGTCTTGCCAAAATTTGATTACTTACAGACTAGAGTCATATAGATTGAATATTACGGCATGATACCTCAAACAAATATGTTTTCATTCAAGTATGTCAAGTGGATGGTTGTAATATTTTATGTTTACATCATTTCATTAAGCTTGGTTATCGTATATACCTACAGTAACATCAAGAGAGTAACATGAATGATGCATGTGAGAGCTATGATATTTGACAAAAAAAACCCAGTACCTGCCAGTTAAATTACTACCAGTAAACGTTTTAAATGCTGCAATTATAGATGAGACGGGTGGCAACAGTGAATGACATTTACCTTGAAATCAAAAGAGATCTGTGAGTGGAGTTGTTGATATCTGCATCTCTGCTCTGTAAGTTGGAATTTTTCAACTGAACATGGTGAACTTTCGTTATATTATATCAGTTTTAGTATCCAGTTTGTCTGTTACTAGTGGTAGTACTTTGAATCTTTGACTTTGTTGCAGGGTACACCAGTATCCGGAGAGCCTGCCCAAAATTGACTTTTCGTTGTACAAAGCGAGACTTGCAAACCCAGCTCTTGCCCAACAGTTTGAAAGCCAGGTAAGCTATTTTATGTGCGTAAGGATTCCTGAAATAGTCTGACCAGTGCGTGCTCACAGGCCTTCGTGTCTTTGCGAGGATTAAAGATTTTATAAAATATATACAAAAATTTGAGATGACCCCCGACTCGAAATGCTTCACAATATAATACATCATGACAAGGCCGGACACTTCGGTGCACCCAGCCCGACTGTTTTGCCGATCGCTACGCTAACATCACATGCAATCAATTAATAAAACTTGATGTAGAGGGCTTGCTTCGACCACATCCCTGTTTTGTGCGGATATATCGTCATCCATTTGTGTCAAGATCGTTTAGTTGAGAGTCAAAATCGGGTTTCAGTCGACTTGCTGAAATAACAATAAAGAACTGGTAGGTGTCATGTGATGCCCGATAGGCCAATCATCCATGATTATATCTACATCAAGTTTTAATCGATTGCATGCGATGGTAGCGTAGCGATCGGGCAAAGCAGTCGAGTTGGGTGCACCGAAGTGTCCGGCCTTGTCATAATGTATTGTATTGTGAAACATTTCGAGTCGGGGGTCATCTAAAATATTTGAATATATACTCCCCATCAAAAGTTTAGACTCACTAGTGTAAATGTAGCCACTTACTTCAGTCAGCTGATCTAAACTAGATTTTGCAAAATATTCTATACAGTTTAACAGTGGTACTCGTTCTGACAAATCATGATAGAAGTCTTCAACTGTGTCTGATGTATATTTCAAAACAAATTGTTATATGGGACATTTGTTGATGTTTAAAAATGTTTATTGTCATGCCAGTTCAATAAATGTTAAAACTGAAATGTTTGTCTAAACTCTAGTCCTGAAAATTTCAATGGGTCAGACAGAATTCTTACAGGACCCAAAACTCCTGTTACTTTGAAACACCAAAACACTGGTTTAAGGGTACTGTTCACATGAAGATGAACTGATGTATTGTAAAACAAATTAACGCTTTTATTGTCATGAGTTCAATAAATGATGAAACTGCAAAATGAGAATTCCTCTCAACACCAACATGCAGCTGTTCACATGCACGATATTTGCACATGCTTTTCAGCATTGATGCATTATTTGCACTCTGGTAAGGTTTGCACTTGGTTCCCCAGTGGAGAAATTCATCTTCGATGTAACCACATGTATATACATAAAATATAGTGAGTGTTTTAAGTTAGACTAAACTTTGATGGGTAGTATATTTTATAAAATCTTTTACCTTGCAAAGACACGAGAGCCTGTGTGCATGATATCACTTGTACTAATTTTCTCCTCCTTTGAAATGAAACCCAATGGAAATTGCAGATTGAAAATGATTCCTAATTTTCCTGTGATACAGTTGTAATATTGCTGACAGTGCATAGAACAATATTTACTCTGGGTTTGAGAATTATAAAATTGAACTATGTTGAAGCATTATAGACTATTCTAAGAGACAAATGTTGCTTTTGCTGCACATATAGGATCATCACATAAATCACAGAATGTTCTCTGTACCAGATCACAGAATGTCTCTGTACCATATCCTAAGGTGAAACCCAGTTCCTTACATTGTGTCTATGTTTCCAGTACCAGAATGTCTCTGTACCCTATCCTAAGGTGAAACCCAGTTCCTTACATTGTGTCTCTGTTTCCAGTACCAGAATGTCTCTGTACTATATCCAAAGGACAAGAACAATATGCTTCAGGAGGTAGATGCACAGGAGAAGAAGGCTGTAAGTTTGTGTTTGTTTGAAGTGAAGCAGCAGTTGTTAAAATGTGTAAGTGGGCACAGATGGTCTGGTCATCTAAATCCCTGCAATTCACCAAGTGTGATAAGCTCTATATCAGTGCTTATCATTTTATGGCTTTACCTCTGAAGTTGTAAATGCCACTGCTCAGCATCCTGGTTTAGAATAACATGTTGACGTTTCAAGTAGCATAAACAAGGTGTTGTTAAACCCTACTCACTGACTTGTGATTATGGGTTTTTGACTTGCTGATTCTGTTGGGGATGGTACATGACTACATGTTAACTCAGTTTCAGCATTGTTACAATCATGGGTATAACAGAATAACAATGCCAAAGGATAATATTTACCATTGGACTTTGGAATGTGACAAACTTGGTGATGTGATTCATATTAGAAGTAATACATCATTGTTTTTGACAGAATACTGAAAGTAAAGCTTTCGTCGGAGTACTTCAGGGACAGATTAAGGAAGCCAGGATGATGGTAGGTTGATCTGCTGAATACACTGACTTCCATTTGTCCAGACATCTTGTTTGCTCACCAGGACCAAAGCTACAAATGATCTTAATTCTTATGGATTGCTGCCAATGTGTCTGTCTGTTAACGTCTCTGAAACTGCTGCAAGGATTGTTTGAGGATGTCTCCTGACAGAAAGTATATGTTGAAAGACCATGACAAATAGTGATTTGTTTTTGTTGATATACTGATAACATTTTCCTCCCATATGATACACACAGATTATTCTTTATATACTGTTTGTCCTTTGAAAGCAAACACCATGATTAACTAAGGGGCTACTGGTATCTTAATTATAATCCTCACATTGTATTTTGAATAAAAAAGGAAGAAAACCAACTTTGCTTGATGTTTGTTTCTGAGTTCAACTTGTGAATGCTAGAATCTGTTACAGTAAATGAAAAACTGAATATGAATTCTTGTGTTTAGATGATGAAAACCGAAATATATAACCTAAAACTTTCGTGGACTAATTCATGCTTGGTTGCTTTCAATTACTCATGTGTTATTTGGTAAACTATCCTGCATTTGTTGCAGTATTCTCCTTTAGAATTCATGTGACTTTACTTACAAGTGTTAAAACCTCATAAAGTGAGTCATTTATGTTGATGTGATGTTTATAGCTGGACAAGCTGGGGAGCATCCCTCCACCTGACCAGATGACACATGAGATGTATGCCTTCTACTTCCCTGACAAGAGCCTGGACCCTGTCAGCAAGCCCACATTCTGGCCCCACATCCCTATGCTGCAGCCTGGGCACAAGGACCATGAGTACATCAAGTAATGAAAAGTCCTGTAGGAAATTTATGCCAGAAATATTGAGTGACAGTTACTTCAGGTACACGTATGACTGGAACATTTAAGATCGATTTGTACATGTATTCGGTTCAACATTCGTTACCATGTGTACTGAACTAGAATAAATTCTTGTTTGTGAAGCTTGTTTTTAGTTATGTTTACATTACACTGGACAAGTTTCTGAAGACGTATCCAGTGCCCAAGTCTTGCAAGATTCAAAGTGTCATTGTACCCCAATGGTACAGAGAAGTTGGCAGTGTGGCACCTGGATATTTATCATCAGGCAATGGAGATATAACACACTGATATAACAGTAAAAACTCAGGATGGTTATCAAGTGAAAATATGCTAATATTTACACCCAAGGGTCATTGTTTTTATGTGCATTGAAAATTTGAGGATTTTGTATTGTTCAGCAGTACTTTTCATTGCTGCTTGTAAAGAGTCACCTATGTGAAAAACAAGGATGCAATGCATGTATTATCAAATAAGCCTGTATGTTGTACCACAGACAAATGTATTCTGACCTGTATGAAGAGAATAAGGAATGCATGTTATTAATCATTTGTTTTATTTCCCTCTTAAAGAGCATGTTGATCCCTCATTATAACAAATATTCGCTCCATGTGGCATCTCAGACTATGTACAATAATAAATAATTTACATCCAACATATCTCAAAGCAGACCTGTCAAATATCTTGTCAGAATACCACCTGGCTGCTGACATTACAACCAATAGTTATACAGTTACTTGTTTCAAGCACAACTGGTTGCACCAAACTATGCACATACTTGGGACAAACATGTAGAAGCACTTCATTGGATCAACAATGAATCACAGAACTTTGAAAGACATGGCATGTTTAACACTGCTTCACACATTTACCACTGCTGAGTAACACTGAACAAGTCCATTGAAGAATTAGCCTAAAACATAAAATAGTTCAACTTCCAAGTGAAACATCTTTCATTTGAAATATAACATAACAATGATTTTTAAAAAGCTGGTAACCATAAGTGTGAAGACAACTTGACAGACAATATCGGAAACCACACTCGGTCACTGGTATTGTACAGAACTGGAATCAATGTTCAGTCACATGATTAGCTACATGTACCATTCTTGTTCCATGAACACTAAGTTTCATTAGTAATACAAGAACTATTGTTCTAGATCTAACCATCACAGTCAATCTAGATTATACATCTATAAAAAATCATTTGCTAATGTGATTTTCAAAATGACACCGTAGTTTGTGTATTGATTTGTGTGTATAGATCTTATGGTACAATCAACCTGTCTGTGTTTTGAGGTCCAATAAAAATACTACCCATCAAACAAATCATATGGTTGTTTTACCTGAACAAAGTATGTCAATGCAAATCAAGACCCACTGCGTTAGAATCCCCAGGTGTTGTATATCAGTGAACATAACTATGATATTCTATCATTAAGGACTGTCACAATACAGTTGATATCCTGGTGAGTGCGAGAGCAATACCGGTACCTGACAACTCATATTAGGAGTCACACGCCGTTAATGGAAATGAACAGACACCCAATAAAACATTTAAAAATGGCTTGAGCACCACTCATGTACACACTGGCTGAGAATAGTATTTGCTATCACGTTTGTCCTGCCTCCTATTGTGGCAGAGTCGATGTTCTGCAAGGTGAATCATGACTGACTGACTGACTGAGTTTTGGTTTTACGCTGCTTTTAGCAATATTCCAGCAACATCACGGCGGGGGACACCAGAAATGGGTTTCACACATTGTACCCGTGTGGGGATTCGACCGGGTCTTCGGCGAGACGAGCCAACGCTTTAACCACTAGGCTACCCCACCACCCCAGGTGAATCATGACAATGCTGAGAACACTAGCATCAAGTCTTCAACCCTTCACACTGCAGAACGAGGACCAGCCATCAGCAGAACAGGAAACTGACTACTGTGGCAACACACGCTGATGAACAGCAAACTACTCCATACTTTTACCATTTTTGTGTACAATATCCCATACGTTTAAGAATGGACATATTGTGACTTTAACTAACATTCGGGGTCGGTTTATATAGGTTGTCCTGCTGTCTTGGAGGCCCAATATTTTTCCTCCAAGGAATGAATGAATGTTATCATCCATAACAGATTAGTTTGATCTTCATGATATCCTCTGAAATGTGGATTGTAACACTTGTCAACACTATTCTCATGATAACCTGCATATGTGAGATCTCGACATGATTTGTTCACAAATGTAGAATTAGTCAGGAAATGGTGTCATAAGCATAATCAATAGTTGTTAAAACACTTCTACAAATGAAACCATAACTTATCCTGCTTGGTACACCCACATCTATGAAGAGTGTGACAGAAACAATCTTGGGAAACTAAACATCATAATCCATGGAAACTGATTCCAGTTTCATGTCCAGGGGAGATTATTCCTTTCTGGTACATATGTACAACCCCATATTATGCAATATTTGACAAGCCTCATGTACATGAACCCAGTAACTTGATTCAGCAGTAATGGCAATAATGAACATAATAGAAGCAGCAACGTCTTGTAGCATAATATTGGACTGTTACTTAACACAACACCACTAAGTACAGAGCCAGGCTCCTCTATTCAGGGATGGCAAGTTTCTGCTGATCCATCGATTTTTCTCCAAATTGATCAGTTCTGTGAATCGTCTAAATCCGTTGAGAAACCCTGAACCTCCCATTCGATGATGCAATATTAAGTTGTCAGCTGAAAATAGATTTCCCTGTTGCCACTGCTGTCTGTTGCATGTTTCTCATTTCAAGGTACTACTGCAGCCATAATGCTGCATATTTGGTGCAAAAACAGTGGAAGTCTGTGAGCTGTGGTGGGCCTGACGTAGCATCCTGATGGTCAGCAAGGGTCAGCAAGGGTCAGCCTGTTCACATCCTGGTGTTGCACTCGTCCCATTGGTCTCTGTCCTCACTTGGCCAGTAAGTGGTCAATCTGCAACACATTCATCAAACACATTCAGCAGTGTGTTCCTGGTGAGGTGAGGTGAATTAGGTTTAACGTCGTGTTCGAGAATATTTTGCTCATATGACGACGTGCATGCGTGTGTATGTGTATGTGTATGTGCATCTGCTGGTACTAGCCCAGACTTAAGCTGGTTTTATAGTGCTAGCCCACTGAGATACCATGCCGCAGTGAAGCATGAATACCCCACTCATTATACTGACTCCGAGCCGACCAGTCCTTGTTGTACCCATTAATGCTGAGCGCCAGGCAGGGACCAACAAGTACCATATTTTAACATCTTTTGGTATGATGCAGTCGGGGATCGAACCCGCGGCGTTTCGCTCTCCGGGTGGATGCTCTAACCAGACACCACGGAGGCGGTTGTGTTACTGATGAAGACATTCTGTCTCTATTCACCATTTACTGCTGGAGGTCCTATACAATGTGACTAAGGTAGGATTGACTGGAGGGAAAGTTTCACATAGAAAATACTGTGCCCATATACCGATACAATCTTAGGCTTAGACACCATTGGTGTTATCCAACTAGTCCCCTGCTCATTTTATACTGGTCATTATGAAGAATAACTGCTTAGATCAAGTAAAGAGTTTTTACTCCCCTGAAAACCTTGATCCAGCAGGTGTGCTGACACCTGTGTATACCTGAGCCTTGTACATGTCCTTGACAGCCTCCAGGTCCAGCTTGTCTACTGAACACATGTAGAGGTGTTAACACAGTGATGCCCCTTACCTGAGCCTTGTACATGTCCTTGACATCCTCCAGGTCCAGCATGTCTACTGAACAAATGTAGAGGTGTAAACACAGTGATGCCCCTTACCTGAGCCTTGTACATGTCCTTGACATCCTCCAGATCCAGCATGTCTACTGAACACATGTAGAGGTGTAAACACAGTGATGCCCCTTACCTGAGCCTTGTACATGTCCTTGACATCCTCCAGGTCCAGCATGTCTACTGAACACATGTAGAGGTGTTAACACAGTGATGCCCCTTACCTGAGCCTTGTACATGTCCTTGACAGCCTCCAGATCCAGCATGTCTACTGAACACATGTAGAGGTGTTAACACAGTGATGCCCCTTACCTGAGCCTTGTACATGTCCTTGACATCCTCCAGGTCCAGCTTGAGCTCCTCGGTCTGCTCCACCTTCTCCCCATACATCTGCAGCAGGGCATTGTACCGCTGGTCGAGATCCTGGGGACACGAGTCAACAGTTTATCATACTGGATACATCTCCAAATCATGTGCAGGGACACACTGCACATTGAACACATACTGTCAACATTGATGACATGTGTCGACCAAATCAGCGAGCCTGACCACCCGATCCCGTTAGTCGCCTCTTGCGACAAGCATGGGTTGCTGAAGATCAATTCTAACCTGGATCTTCATGGGTCCCTGGGTACTTGTAAAAAAAATGTCAATGACTTCACATACTGTCTATGTAATCATTAGTGCACAAAATGATGTAGACCTCAAGAAAAGGTAGTCTATTATTTGGAGTGGCCTATATTTTGGGTGGGTTGAGGTAGGGTGAGGGAGGGTGGTATGTAATTGTGTTTCCAGCTCCTAGTGCACATACCCTGTATTTCTCTTGAAGTTGTGGTAGTTCATGCACCTGCTCCTCTAGCTCTTCATTCTGATTGGTGAGATTTACTAGTTCCTTTGCCATTGACTCGCGGGTTCTTTCAAGTGATGCAATTTCACTCTGAAAATTCAATATGTCAACTGAAAAATGTTTCATTACATCTGTAAGATACATGAGCAGGCAAATATTTACTTGAGGAATGAGGACTATTTTTTACGGATATACAACTTCTTTATTCTGTATAGAACACCACCAAGGTCATCAAGAGGAACCAGACTGATTTCAAAACCCGAAAATTACTTTGTGGTCTAAGGCACACAAGTGGCCCGCAACCTGTTTGAGCCTTACATAAAAGATATAACTGAGTCTCTGTCCCTAGTGAGTGAGTAAGTTTAGTTTTACGCTGCACTCAGCAATATTCCAGCTATATGGCGGCAGTCTGTCCCCAAGTATTAAACATGGATGCAGGACAATGATAAGATGGTCACCTGTAGTTGAATGATCTCTCCCTCTCGCTGCTTCAGCTGTGACTGCAAGTTCTCCAACAAGGTAGCCGCTCCACTTTGCCTCAGACTCTCATACAGGTTCATCTTACTGCCGTTGGGTGATGACAACATCAGCGTCCGCTCCAACAGATCCTCCTGCAGTGTGCATCACAGGGTGTTATACAGGATCCAAAACTATCACAATTCTTGTGTTGCAATATATGTAATTATTAAAGGGAAACAATTCTTACAACATGACGTACCTGTGGCAGGACGGGGAGGTACTCAGGGTGAGCCTGGAAGCTGCTGACACTCTCCTGTCTGGACACCGACACTGGCGAGGGGTGTACCCCGGGACTTCGGACGTTCTCGCTCCTGGAACCATCATATCAACACTATTTGTCTGACCTTCTATTCCGACAATGTATCAACAATTGCTACAATACACACTGTAATTTTACCTTAAAGGTAAATCATAAAACCGGTACAAGCCCACTGAAACCTTGCATGGTCCCAGATATCATTGTCTGTCCACTGGCCACCTACAATAACTGTGTGTGTTTATTTCCCCAAACAATATCACTGTGAAAATATCACTCAGTTACAATTTTCATCTGTGATGGAGCAAAAATAGCAATCGATAAAGAAGTATTATAACAGCTCGGTCATAGATTTAACCATATAAGGGTTGGCCCCCAAACACAAGGTCAAAGACAGCTGTGAAGTCCCTAATCCCCTCCCCTGTCCCTGCCTACCATCAGCCTAATCTGGTCATCCATCATAGCGACTCTCTTCTTTTCCGTTTCAACTTTGGTCTTCTCCATCTCCACCTGCGTCTCCAGGAACACCTGCAACATCAACACCCTCGATCAATCAGTGTCTGGTCTACCATGAATATCCTTACAACTTCCAAACATGGTGGCATCAAGTCAACACAACGACATAGTGGAATACACAGTAGATATGAATGACTCACATCATGCTTCAACAACATTCCTCTTGTTGATGAACTCCACACAGTTCAGTGGTACTTCAGCTATATGATGACCATACTGACAGGTTACAACATGCAATGAACAGAGTCGTACTATCCAATCCACATAGTTATCTCTAGACTCCCCACTGGGCTAGAATATGTGAAGCCTATTTCTGGTGCCCCCTACACTGTGATATTTCTGAAAGCCAGTGGCGTAAATCTACACTCACTCTCTTACAAGAAGCACCTGATGCTGGGGACATATACTCTACTGTGGAATCACCTTTCCTGCACATACCTTGTCTTTCTTGAGTTCAGTAATCTCCTTTGACAACTTGTTCTTGACAGCATCAACCTGAGCCATTTCACTGCAACCAACATTCATCATTATGGTCTTCAAGCAGAAGTAGCATTATTGACAATCATGTCATTTTCTGACTAAAATTGATATTTTAAACTTATCCTGACTCATGCTAAATGCTTGTTTCCTACTCCTTGCGAAAGATAGTGGAACACTTGAAATCCCTTGAAGTTCCCTTCTAAAAAGCGGATGTAAAATCACTACTCACCCACGAGTTACCTCCCTTGCCCCTTTGGCGCCCTTTTGGTCACCTGACCGGCCATGTTTGTCACTCTCTCCGTATGTATCGCCCGACACCCGGATTTACAGGGAAATCCAGAGTACTATAAGGGGGGAGGTTGGGAGGGCTGACCTCATAAGTCAGGATAAGTATAAAATATCAATTTTAGTCAGAAAATTACATATTTTTCCTTATCCTGACTCATGCAAATGCTTGCAGAATCCGTCGGAATCGGTGGTGGGTCAGGCCACTTCTGGATTATCTGGCTGTTGATTTACGTCCTGTATTACCCCCCATGGGAACTTATGACGCCACTGCTGATGATTCTGTTCTTTCAACTTCCTCAGATGAGACTGGGGGGAACCACAACTTGTCAGATTTCTTCCGAAACTTCTCCTGACATTTTCGTGTGGATTTTAGATATACTAATGTTCCATTAGTTATCTATTGCAACTCCATCTTTTGATGCGCGCATCAAGTGGAGATGCGACCCTTCTTCATGTACGAGAATGTCCTATACAAGTACAGGGTCTATCACTCATGCTAGCCTGTCCTAGACGTGTGCATGGACTTTAACCATTTGCTCTCCAGAGCGTTGGTTTTCACAAGTAACGTGATAAAAGGGTGAGATTTTTCTCAGCGCCTTTGTGGAACTGTTAGTTGTTGTGCTACAAAAAGTGGCCCAAACTGGTGAATGCCTGAGACGTCTTCGGTGGCAGTGTCTCTGAGGTAGTGGTTGGCAAACACCGTGTCCGATTTCCAAAAGGCAGCCCTCCATTATTGTTGCAATTGAGCAGTTTCCATGCAGAGCAAGATTAGACGCTAGGGCTCTGTCTCAGTAGATAAGGGGATGAATAGGTGCTTGAATTTTCGTCTCCTTGTTTTTGTCCTTTGTAGGTAGACTTTTATAAGGATAGATCCTATGTATCCTGTGGCCCAAGGACTGTAGAGAGTGCTGGGATGTGGAACTGTCTGTCAGGCTGGCCGGGCAGTTGGTTCTTGGCAATAAAATCCCATCTCAGTCCTAGATGTACGATGTCACAATGTCTTGATTCAAATCGTGTTCGTTCAAAGTCCAGAGCATGTATTTCTGACATCCGTGCTGCTGTTGCTAGGGCGATCAGGAACAGCGTTTTCTGAGTCAGTAGTTCAAAGGATGTCCGTTCTAGAGGCTCGTAGGCATCACTGGTGAGATGTTGTAGAACTATGTTGAGATCCCAGGCAGGAGCCTTGAATTTCTTTTGTTGGTCTTCCAACTTGAAAGAGCGTAGTAGTGCCAGTATCTCTGGTACTTTGGTCAGCTTGACACCTGTCTTCATGGTGATATATTACCTTAGGTTTCGGGGTGTTGTACCCTTATTCCCTAGGCAATCTGTCTAGCCACTCTGGTTCTGGGGATGATGTAGCTAGATGGATAATCAAGGATAAGTCCAGTATGGTGTTCAAGTCCTGTTTATTGTAGCATGAATTCTTTCACAAAGGTCCTCAAATATTTCCTAGATTTCCTGGTTTACATACATCACATATTCACACATCTCCTGGAAGAACTTGTTGGTTTCTTTCACAACTCCTAAGTTACAATTTCATCTGAGCCATTCTCTCAATATGCAGAGAGAACCTCTCAAGTCAACGGCAGGGCCCAGTCTCTCCCGCTCTCTCTCAGTCAGATAGTTTTTAGTTCTCTTCACAATTTCTGGGCTCCTCCCCCCGAAATGATGTCCTACCTCCTACAGAAATGACTCATATCCAATCTTAATAATTAGTTACTTTCATTAGTCCCTTTCGGAGACTTTATTTGGTACCATCAATTTCTTCCAGTGATAAATGACATTTCTAGTTATCCTTAAGCCATACATCAACCCAACGTTGACATATCCGACTAATATCTCAGACTAGTAGATACTTAATCAAATCATTTCATTTCCTATGCATGCTCCTTTATTGACAAACTGACCAAACTGACCATCTGTATCCCAAATGTCCATCCACCCAATTTGTGTATAAACACCAGTTTGAACGTTTCACCCTCATTGATGTCAATTCAGAGAATTTGTTATTCCCCCAAGAAAAGTGAATCAATAACAGTTCAGTTAGCTTGGTCAACGCACTTTCCCAGTACATTTACCCTTCTGAACTTAACTTCAAATTTTCTTTAAATATTTATAAAATGTGTATAATGTTTTCAACTCTACTAAATACCCTGGTTATAGATAACTGTGCTGAGAGCAGCCAGGTATGTTGAGAGTGTTGAACCTTTTAAGTGTCTCGTCTGTCGCAGATGACAGGTATTCCGCCACTTGAGGATGGGTTGCTTTTACCGCAGTAAAGCCTTTCCTCGTTGCATACTGTTTAAATCTCTGCCATCATGTAGATGTTCAGGTCATCGACGATGCTGAACAGGAGAAAGCTGAGTTGTAGCAGTCTTCTTGATCTTGTTGATCCTTGTTTGTTGATGTAGAACGCTACTGTGGAGTTGTCCGTGTGGACCATGAGCCTTGCGTTCTTTAGTACGCTGGGCCAGTGTTGTAAAGTGTTGATCACTGCTTTCATCTCCAACAGGTTGATGTGCAGACTCTGATCCTGACTCGACCACTTCCCTGCTGCCACTTCTTTGTCGAGGTGGGCCCTTCATCCTTGTAGCGATGCATCTACGTAGAGATGAGTGTTGCAAACCGGCTCTGACAAAAAGGTTCCCCTGCAAACATCCGACTTCCGAGTCCACCATAGGAGGTATCGTTTCAGGCTGTCCGGTAGAATCAGCGGATCCAGACTGTCGAGATGGGCATTCACAAATATTTGTAGTGGGCACAGTTGTAGTCTCCCTCTGCGAGTCATGTCTTGAGCTGAGGTGAGTAGACCGAGCATGCGTTGCCAAGCACGTAGTGTCAACGGAGAGAGCATTGCTTGAGATATCATATGTTGTATCTTGACCCAACGATCCTCTGGGACAACTATGCAATTCACCAGCGTGATGAGTCGTATTCCTAGAAATTCGAACTAACCTGTAGAGGTTTAAGATTCTTTGAATATATTCCTCCTTGGGGTACTTATAGGCATTTAAATGTCCATTTAAATTCCCTACGACAGTTGTAACAATATTTGAATAAAATATTTACAAAACAAAAACTACGTTTTGTCTTGTGAGACCACCCTTACAGGGCCTTCCGGCCCCCTACAGCCAAGAGCAGGTAACTCTAGACCGTAACCTCGTACCTCACTTTCCATGCTGAACGAAGTCAGACAGAATGCGGAGGGAGGTGGTGATACCCAAGGAGGAATATATTCAAAGAATCTTAAACCTCTACAGGTTAGTTCGATTCTTTTATATATTTCCTCCTTGGGGTACTTATAAGCATAAGACAGACTCCTAAAGACGGATCTCAGGAGCGCATTCTGTCTGCTTAAACACCCCGACAAGAAGTGGAATTTCCCAAGTTAATTATAGCAGAAAAGGCACACTTACCCGGTCACGTCCACCAAAGCCAATCAGGCGGGGCATGAGCCAGGGTCAGGGTTAAACGATATAAATTTGTCCAGCTTAAACCTCGCTAATGCAACGAACAAGACACACCCTCCTCCTTCCCGTAATCTACTCGAAGTGAAGATAAGGGTCCCGCTAATAAACCCAGAAACGAAATGCCGGAATATGAACAGCAAAGTTTCCAAGGGCAGTTTAGTCTAGAGCTTCGGTTAGAAAGCAAGAGACATGGGAATAAAAACCAGCACCACATAAAACCCATCACCAAGGGAAAATGTAACAAGATTTGTAAAACCCAACACCAGTGTTAAAAATTGGCAGATAATGGTTCACACAATAATGTTTTAAAACCTCGAAAAGCTCAATCGCTAGAGAGGTGGAACCATGCCCACTGGAGAGAACTGACTGACCGAACCGAGCACGCTCACTGGAGAGTCTGTCAAGTTGGTAATGACGGATGAACGCATCGACGGCTCCAAATAGCCGCCGAGCAGATCTCTCCTCAATGGGCAGGGCTGCAGCGTAGCTGTCGATGTAGCTACTGCCCTAACCGAATGAGCTTTCAACCCAACAGGCGGATACCCTGTTTGAGTATAACTCATATGTATGGCAGAGACAAGCCACCGAGAAATGGTCTGCTTGGTCGCCGGAAGACCAGCCTGAACCCCCGCCATAACAACAAAACAATTGGTTACCCTTACGGGTACCCCTTGTTCGCTTGATATAAGCCTGAAGTGTCTTACGGACATCTAAGACGTGAGCACATCATAGAGAGGTACCGGACAGGGAAGGCTGTGTGAAAGCTGGGAGCTCAATAGGCGCCGCCACATGGAAGGGACTATCCTTCTTAGGACGGTAAGTCTCAGGCAGCCGAATGCTAACTCTGTCTTTGTGAAAAACAGTAAGCTGGATCGGGCGACATTGCGTGAATATCGCCAACCCGCCTGCCAGAAGTCACCGCCACAAGAAACCCGCCTTCCACGCCAACAGCTGGAGGGAAAGAGACGACAGATTGTGAAACAGTGGACCGGACAGCCAATCAAGAACGATTGACAAGTCCCACGGGGACTAATCCGTCCGGACAACCGGACGGATTCTGTCCACATCTGCTAAAAAGCTGTACAAGAGGGTGCTGCCCCAAGAGAGCACCGCCAACAGGAATATGAAACGCAGAAATAGCCGTGAGAATATCCTCGAACAGTGGAAGCCGCTAGACCGCTTCCAACCGAGACTGGAGGAATTCTAACACACAGACTAAATCTGTAGAAAAGGGATCAAGAATCCCCTGTTGACACACCAGCGCTAATAA